ACCCCTAGTCACAGGTGTTTTTCTTGGAATGCTGTGTTCTTTTTCCTCCATGCATAACTCCCCTTGTTATGCCCAAATAACAGTTTTAGTTTTATCAGTCCACAGCATCTTATTCCAGAATGAAGCTGGCTTGTCCAAATGTGCTTCAGCATGCCTCAAGCAGCTGTGTTTGTGCTGTGGGCGGAGAAATGGATTCCTCTGCATCTCTCTCACATGCAGCATCTCCTTGTGTAAAGTGCACTGAGTAGTTGAACGATGCACAGTGACTCCCTCTGCAGCAATATGATGTTGTAGGTCTTTGGTGCTGGTCTGTGGGTTGACTCTGACTGTTCTCACCATCCTTCTCTTCTGATTATCCCAGATTTTTCTTGGTCTGCCACTTGGAGCCTTAACTTGAACTGTACCTGTGGCCTTCCATTTCAGGAGAATATTCAAAGAGGAGGGGAACTTACAATCGGCCCCCTTAAATGCTCCTTCTCATAACTGGTTTCACCTGTGTATGGAGGTCAAGGGTCACTGAGTTAACCAGATTAATTTTGAGTTCCGGGTCCGGGTCGCGGGGGCAGCATCCCAACCAGGGAGCTCCAGGCCGTCCTCTCCCCGGCCTTGTCCACCAGCTCCTCCGGCAGGACCCCAAGGCGTTCCCGGACCAGATTGGAGATGTAACCTCTCCAACGTGTCCTGGGTCGACCCGGGGGCCTTCTGCCGGCAGGACATGCCCGAAACACCTCCCCGGGGAGGCGTCCAGGAGGCATCCTGACCAGATGCCCAAACCACCTCAACTGGCTCCTTTCGATCCGGAGGAGCAGCGGTTCTACTCCGAGTCCCTCCCGAATGTCCGAGCTCCTCACCCTATCTCTAAGGCTGAGCCCGGCCACCCTACGGAGGAAACTCATTTCGGCTGCTTGTATCCGCAATCTCGTTCTTTCGGTCATTACCCAAAGCTCATGACCATAGGTGAGGATTGGGACGTAGATCGACCGGTAAATCGAGAGCCTGGCTTTCTGGCTCAGCTCCCTCTTCCCCACGACAGATCGGCTCAGCGTCCGCATCACTGCAGACGCCAAACCAATCCGCCTGTCGATCTCCCGATCCCTCCTACCCTCACTCGTGAACAAGACCCCGAGATACTTAAACTCCTCCACTTGAGGTAGGACCTCTCCCCCGACCCGGAGGTGGCAAGCCACCCTTTTCCGGTCGAGAACCATGGTCTCAGATTTGGAGGTGCTGATCCTCATCCCAGCCGCTTCACATTCGGCCACGGAGGAAGACGAAGACGAATTTTGAGTTCCAATAATTAGTTCTAAAGGTTTTGGAATCAATAAAATGACAACAGCGCCCACATTTATGCACCTGCCTATTCAAGTTCAATGCAATTCAATTCAAAAATACTTTATTAATCCCAGAGGGAAATTGATTTTAATCCCAGCGGGAAATTGATTATTAATCCCAGAAGGAAATTGATTATTAATCCCAGAGGGAAATTGATTATTAATCCCAGAGGTAAATTGATTATTAATCCCAGAGGGAAATTGATTATTAATCCCAGAGGGAAATTGATTATTAATCCCAGAGGTAAATTGATTATTAATCCCAGAAGGAAATTGATTATTAATCCCAGAGGTAAATTGATTATTAATCCCAGAGGTAAATTGATTATTAATCCCAGAGGGAAATTGATTATTAATTCTAGAGGGAAATTGATTTTAATCCCAGAGGGAAATTGATTATTAATCCCAGAGGGAAATTGATTGAAAAGGCAAAACTTACAGTACATATAGTCAACAGAGCTACTCCAACATGCAGCCACCCAGAGCAGCGCAGTTCCTGAATTTAGCGCAGTTCTGGAATTTCCAATATTATTATTCAAACAATTATTGCTCACTTTCTGTAAATCCTATAAACTTCGTTTCACTTCTCAATCATCACTGTGTGGCTCCTATATGATATATTTAACTGAATTTTTTATTGTAACAACCAACGATTTATACAGGAAAATCATGAAGATTAACAAGGCTGCCCAAACCTTCTCACCCCACTGTAATAAAGCTCTGTTGGAAGTAAAATAAATGTTCCTCTTTTGTGCACCAGTCAACAGAAACAGCAGCAAGGCAACAACCTGGCAAAGGAGACCGACAAACTGATGAAGGCCTTCACTGCTCTTCCCATCGGCCCTGATCAGGTACCAAATGCCAGATTGTTCAGATTTCTCAGTTTGCATCTCGACCCTCTGCTGATATTTGCTTGTGCTGCTTTCAGCGACAAAGGAAACTACAGAAAGAGCGTTTGCTAAATGACTTCTCGGCCGCGCTGAACAGCTTCCAGAGGACACAGAGGCAGGCGGCAGAGAGAGAAAGGGAGTATGTGGCCAGAGTCAGAGCCAGCTCCAGGGTCTCGTCAGTGAGTTAACCAGCCTGTTTTGTCTCAACCAACACCAGTTTGTTGATTAACTGACATCTATGGAGGAATTTACAGAAATCTGAAAAGTAAAGTTTATTCTACTTTTTTGGTTCCACTAACTGTCACCATTCACAGACATTTTTACAGTTGTGTTGTTTTGAACTCTGCTCCATGATATAACAACCAGAGAACAGGAAAATATCATTATTGTGACCTTTTCAGTGTGGTTTCGATAAAAATACGGAAAGCCAATCACGATCAAAGTCATTTTAGAACAGAAAATTATTTTAAAGGTGAGGTGGAATTGTTTTTCTCGAGCATTTTTTGTGGCATTGCTTGAAATGCTCTTCACATACCAATGGCAACCAATTTATTCAAATTTTTAAATGGAATACTTTTGATTGATTAAATATTTTGTTTATTCAAATTTTTATTCTCGGAAAAGCCATCCCAAATGAGAACGGGGTGCGAGTGGGAGGAGTTTGGGTTCAGCGTGGGTTCTGGAAGTTTGACCCGTTGTTTGTGGGATTTTTCAGATTACTGGTGGCGCTGAACTGGTGGGATTTTGAAGTGATGAATAAACAAACAAAAAAAAAAGCGAATAACTGCCTGCCTTGTTTTTCAACACAGAACACCACTCTATATTAGCTAGCATGGTAAGTTGTTATGTGGTTACTTAGGTGCCTTATGTTAGGAATTATGATAAGAAAGGTGCCATCAACAGGTCAAATATGTAAACGTGAACCCTCAGGAACAAACTTAGTGTTTTCTAGAAGGGGATGAAGAAAGGTGGTTGGACCTTAAAACTGTTTATATTCAAATTGTAGCTTATGTAAACATAGAAAAACCTTCTTTTCCACTTTTTATTTGATTAATCTATGAGCCTAGCTTGGCAAGCCAGACTAAATGAATGTATTATTTACACTGCAAACTTTGCAAAGCAAGAATTTGGTCTAGTGGCTATTATGAGCCACCATTTAATATAAGATGTGCTGAAATTTAGAATATTGTGAGTTATTGTTGTTATTTTCTATCCTAGTGAACTAGACCAAGTTCTTGCTTTGCAAAGTTTGGTCTAGGAATGCTCCACTGGAACCTCTGCAGCCCCAACAGCATTCTGGCTGGCCAATCACAGCTCTCTAGAGGGGTTTCAAACACATAAAGAGCTGTGATTGGTCCATAATGGTGGGCCAATCATAGTGCTCTATCTGCTCAGTGAACAAATCACAGAGCTTTATCTGCTTTGTGGGCCAATCAGGGCACTCCAAATGCCTGGTGGGTGGGATGATGCAACAGAGTGAAACAAGAGGATGCCACATTCATTGTCCAATAGCATGCGGAGATCATTTGAAAGACAATGGCAGAACCCGCCCCACAACCGAGAGCCGTCAATGGAGCGTTGCCAGACTAAATAATACATTTATTTAGTCTGGCTTGCCAGGCTAGTTATTTTCAAGAATTATATAAAACTCTGTTCCATTACATTTAAGCCAGACACAACTTGTCCTTTGCCTCTTTTTCCAGTTTAATTTACTGCAGCTGACGTCGGTAAACTCTTCCGTTACCATATTAACCGTGTTTTAGACTCGTTCCTGTGGGAGAGCCCTCTTGCTCGGCGACTCCGTTCCCTCCGCACTCATCTCACCAGACAAAGAAATCTCTGTTCATCCTCCCAATCTGGAGCAGTAACTGCTTCAAATGCCTCCTCAGGAATTAGCACAATGTGACTTTATTAAAATGTTTTTACATTTTTAGGAGAAAAACTCATGCTGACACATCTGACACGTGTTACATTTAATGATGATCTTTGTGCTTATTGATTTGTTGCAGGATGTAGAAAAACAAAACCTCCTTTAGAATTTCCAACATCATAAAGTTGACTTGTTTTTTTTTAACAGGGAGGTCAGCCTGAAGACAGTTTTGGAAATGCACCCCAGAAGTAAGTTCACACGCTCATATTTGTCCCTCCACTCTCAGTCTCAGGCCCTGTCCACACGTAGCCGGGGATCCTCCAAAACGTAGATATTTTTCTACGTTTTGGCCTGTCATCCACACGAAAACGGAGTTTTTTCACACGAAAACGGATCTTTTTAAAAACTCCGGCCAAAGTGAAGATCTGCGTTTTCTCCGTTTTGGGTGTCTGTGTGTGGACAGACAAAACCGGAGTTTTAAGGTCCGCAACGTCACTTTCCGCGACAAAAAATGCTGACATCACGTGTGCGACCTGTGTTTACACTAGCCGACAGCATGGATGCCCTCAGAGCTGCGCTCGCTTTATCAATTGTCCAAGCGCTTCTTGCTTGTTTGCTTTTGCAAGCGGAATTACTGCTCCTTGTGGAAGACCACAGACGAAGGACGAGGTTAAGAACGGGGGAAGTACTGCCACCTACAGGTCTGGCATGTCCTTAACAACGTATTTATCCGGGTATGTGTGGACAGAGTTTTGTTTTAAAACGAGGTGGTGTGGATGCAAGTTTTTGGAGGGGCGGATATTCGTTTTTTTTAAAACCCGGCTACGTGTGGACTAGGCCTCAGTGTTGTGATTAAAATAGTAACTGAGAGAAACTGCAGTTACTCTCAGGTTCAGGCTCAGACCGAGGCTTTCAACGAAGAAGACCTGAGGCTGATCCAGGAGAGGGAGTCGGCCATCAGGCAGCTGGAGGTGAGGATTTAAATCAAACATCCTCAGAACTACAGGCAGAGCTTCATCAACAATCTGCCTTTACTCTTTATGTTTTAGTCTGACATCACAGACATTAACGACATCTTCAAGGACCTGGGCATGATGGTCCATGAGCAGGGAGACATGATAGGTGAGCATTAGTGTTTTAGCTCTCAGTGTTTTTCTGTGGAGAAGGTCTTAATGCTCATGACAGGCAGACAGCGGTACTGTGTTGCTTCTCTATGTCAGAAAGAGTTAAAAAAAAAAAACATTTTTATTTTCAGGCAGAGTTTCTGTTCACAACGACGGGGGTTTCCACCGGATACGTAAGCAGTGTGTAACGTAGATGTGTCAGGTGTGAATCAGCAGCAAATACATTCCATGCAGCAGGTTTGGTGAGGATGCGAAATCACGGTAGAAGTGCACGATCGCGCGTAGTTTTGGCAGCTCTCACCATAAGGAGAAAAAAGGCAGCATGAATCCAAAAGGTCTGTGGTTTATTTTCTGGTCTCTTTCCCTCGGCCACAGAGGTGTCTCAGTTTAACGAGCACTGCCTCTCCATTCTGGACAACATCTGTCCTGTCAGAACCGGACCAGTTCCTGCATAACATAACATTCATTTCAAACTTCAATCATTGAGCACAGATTAATGAAACATTTCATTATATTATAATTATTATAAGTAGCAATAAACACACGTTTATTTAATGATTATCTAGCTTATAAGTTGTGGAAGTTCATGTTTAATTTAGGAAATCATTCTTTGATTTAGCAACTGATCCGGGCTGCGAGTGTCCCTTATATGGAGGCATGAAGACCTGAAAGATGGGACCTTGAGGAGAGAACATTATTGTTGACATTTCGTTATCTGTGTTCAGAGCTGCAGGCTCTGAGCTCCAGCTGGTGGGACGAGGCAGGCTGATTTAAAGGGGACACATGCAGTCTCGTGTCTCCTCTTTGACCAGATGTTGAATGGTCAAACAGTACCTAAAACCTGACCATTGCTGGACGTCACAATGCGATGAATTGTCTACAGCTGCATTTTTACTTAAAAATGTTGCAAGTCTGTTTTTTTGTGTTCTGCAGACAGTATAGAAGCCAATGTGGAGACTGCAGATAACTGTGTGCAGAATGCCTCGCAGCAGCTGACACAAGCTGCAAGCTACCAGGTAAAATATACAACATGAGTTTGATCTCGACTGATTTCTTCTGCTACAGCTTCCCACTTTCAAATGCATCATGTAATAACAGGGTATCCGCAGGTCCTTAAAAAGTCTTAAAAAGTCTTAAATTTTCTTTTCCAAATTTAAGGCCTTGAAAATCCTTAAAAATGACAAATAATCCTTAAATACAGTTTCCAAAGGTCTTAAATTACCAAAGACCCAATGAACAAGATTCTTTTATTTCTATAAAATTTTCGTGAATTTCTAGTTAGTGTTCAGCATTTTTTGTGTACGATGTTGGCGTAAGCGGAACCATACACATTCGGTTGGTTGTGAAAGGGGGCTATTTTTAGATGAGCACGTTAGCTGGTTAATCTAGTGGGAGCTTGCGCCATGGAGAAGTGCAAGTTTAATGGTAACTGGATGGCTAATCCCACGTTCGCGGCGTGGTTAGCACCGGTTCCAGGCAATAGCTGGAAATTATAGCTTAAATTTAATTTAAAAAATAGCTTAAATTTGGTCAAAGTGGCCTTAAAAAAGGTCTTAAAAAGTGTTAAATTTGGTTCCCTTAAACCTGCAGATACCCTGAATAAACTCAGTGAGATTTGATAAATACGGGTTGTAATAACTTCAGTTACACCTTTTCCTGCCGATTAGGACTCATCTGCTTTAAACAAAAAATCCTTTTGTTTATGTGTTTCTTTACTATCTTTGTCCTTTCTTATATTTCTAGCAAAGCCACAGAAAGAAGATCTGCATCCTGCTGATCGTGGGGGCCGTAGGCATAGTTGTAATAGGACTCATCATCTGGGGAGCTGTCAAACAATGAGGACTTCTTGATTTCTTTCCCCCTCCTGTGTGATCATCGCCCTCGAAGATTCGTAGCATCACTCCTTTATCTTCTGTGTCTTTGTCGTTTGAGTTATGATTACGTTTGTCCTTTTTTAAGGTTCGATTGCAAAAAAGAAGAAAGTCTGGTTGTCACTGAGAGAAAAGCACACTCCTTTTACTGTGAAGTAAATCAAACTCTGGTTCCTTTAGAAGAGGCTTTAATTGAATAGTTGGTTTGATTTAAGGTGAAATATTTTTTTTCTTCACCTGTTTCTCTGAGTAAGGAGTGAACGCAGGGAATGTGTTGCTGCTGTTCGCTTCCAGGATCTCTGCTGAGTTTTAATAGTAAATAATACACATTGGATGATTTTTCTAGGTGCAGTAAAGCAGCAAGTGAAGTTAGAGTTGAGTGTTTTTGCTGCAGCTGGTAAATATAAAACAACATGCTGAAGAGATCACAGCCATTTTAACCAATCACCTCGTATATTTTATGTTACTAATTAGAGTCACAATCAGACATGGATGCTGATTCTTTAAGTGGGTTTTGTGATTATTTCAACTTATAAAGGAAGTTTATTTTATTATTTTAACCACCTGTAACACAGAATGTAAATACTGTACAACACGTACCAGTCAGCGGAGGTCTTTAACTGTGTTTTTATGCTTGGAACTGCTAGTTAAAAAAAAGCTTTGACCCAAGTCACCAATATAAAATAGAATATTGCATTTTGTATAGAAAGAGTTGTATTATAAGACAGACACTAAAGCTACTGTTTCTGAAACTATTTGACTCAATACTGTAAGATGGAGATCACATGTATGTTTTCATTATGAAGAAACAGCCAAAATGAATACATGAGGAAATCTACAAATGATGATTTTCACAATGAACAAAAAGTCTTTGATGCATTTGATCAATAAAAAAGCTCACGAGTTTAACTGAAAACTTGTTTTTTGTATTTAGTTTCTTACGTTGTATAAAATTTATACCTTGAGCTAAACTGCATTTAGCTTCATAAGCTTCTTTTGCACAAACAAACGGTACAGTCATGAACATATAGCTCTGACTGAGACAGGAAGAGACCGAACAAGCTTGTTAAAAAAGCTAGCTCGGTTCTGGGCTGCCAACTAGATTCAGTTTAGGAAGTGTGTGAAAGGAAGATGGTGGTGAAGATGACCTCCATCTTGGAAAACCCCTCCAACCCACTGCATTTCAACCAATCAATCAATCAAAGCTTTATTTATAAAGCACCTTCCACGAACCTGTCGGGAAGCCCAAGGCGCTGAACATGGTACACGAGAAAAGTGAAATATGATGAATACATCGAAAATAAAAGCAATTCAAATAGTGCAAAAAAGGTAAAACATACTAGTATAAGACAAATGGGTAAAACAAGGGATAAAGAGACCAATGAAAACAGGGAAATAAAATCAACATAAAAGAGGGCCAAATTCAAACACGCTCAAGGAACGCCAAGCGGAGGAGGTGGGTTTTTAGGCGACTCCATGGACGTAATTTTCACTTTAGAAGTGTGTGTGTGTGGGGGGGGGGGCACGGGGGAGGGAGGAGGGGGGAGGGGTATCTTTACGGTATGCTCTAATGGGAAACAGACTTCAACACAAACGGTTGTTTTCCGCTTGGTCCTAGAGCTCATCCAGTGTTAATTTAATATAGTGTAATATTGTTTTGGATGGTGAAAGTTGCAGGGGTCAAAACTTGACTTTGGAAAATGTGGGGGGGACATGTCCCCCCTGTCCCCCCCCAAAAATTACGTCCATGGGTGACTCTTAAAGACTGGCAGAGATGGGGACAGCCTAACTGAGGGTGGCAACTGGTTCCAGAGTGACGGTGCTAGGACTGAGAAAGCCCGGTCCCCGCGATATTCACACACACACACACACACACACACACACACACACACACACACACACACACACACACACACACACACACACATATATATATATATATATATATATATATATATATATTTATATATATATATATATATATATATGTACATATATATATATATATATATATATATTTACATGTATACATATATATATATATATTTACATGTATATATATATATATATATATATATATATATATATATACATGTATATATATATATATATATATATATATATATATATATATATATATATATATACATGTATATATATATATGTGTGTGAATTTTCAGCCTTTTTAAACTGATCTTTACAAAACTGTAAGCAAATGTCCCTCGATCTAAATGTAGAACTTCGTAGAGTTTGATAAGTTTTGCAGGCGAGGCATGTCATCTTGAATCTGCTTCCATGCAGGATCTGTGAATGTGGACGCTGGACTTTGGCTCTGGTAGCTGCAGAGGGACATGCTGGACTTGTTGGATTTTATTTCAATGTTTCTTTGTCTGCAAGCTTCAGTGAACTGAAGCTGCTCTGTAAAAATCCCTCCCAAGTAATTTTTTCCTACTGCACTACAGTTTGGTTTAGTTTTGGTTTAGTAAATGTAACCAGGTGACGTTTCACAATTTGGTTTCATAAATAGAGAATATACTATATATACTATATAACAGCCATCAATACAAGCAAGCAGATGTTTTCTTTTTCTGGTGTCATGAACATTTAACATAAAAAAAATCTAACTTTGCTAAATAAAACCAAAAAGAGATCCATTGTTGATTTTTTCAAAACTATTCAGAAGTTTAGCTCAGAGAGTTAAACACTCACACTGAACATAATGTTCGTGTTTATAGCCTGAAGGAAAGGAGTCAACTGAGTTAGCTCACACAGTGTTGCAGTTGGATCCTGATGTGGAAGTAACAGCCTGCTGTGATGCAGGAGGCAGAACTTTCCTTTGGCAGGAAGAGGAGGAGGGTTTGGATCCAGCACTGTAAATACCGCAATCTGCCATGAAACAGGTTGAAATGGGCGTCAGTAGAGCAGCAAAGCTTTTGACCTGTTTGTTGCAAGGTGAGCAGGATTTTCCACCTTTTTCTGACCAAGGCTTCACAACAAATCAGGAATGATTCACTAGGAGAGCAGCTGGTTTATGGATGCTGGAAAGAGTTGCCCTGATCACCAGCTGACTCGTGGTTCTCACACCATGCACATGGAGTCACGCAGCTCTGAGTGACGATAGATGTGCATTTGCGTCACTGTAAAAGTTACATTGCTTGTGTCATAGGTGGGTTTTCGATGTAGTTGCACCAGTAAATGCTTCTTTTTATATTTATTTTCACAAGCACTCAAACGTGGCGATACGTAGCATAATTTTAGCTCATTTTTCAATAAAAGTGGCTTAAAAACAGCAGTTTTATAAGTTGTATATGCTGACGGCTATTTCAAATCAAACAGTTCCTGATTAAACCAGTTTATCTTGTAATTTTAACATTCAAAACAACAAACTTACCAAAACAAAAAAAAAAACAGCTGATTAAACTTTTCAAAGCAACAAAACAGCAAGTTGTGTTGGACATTTCAAAATAGGATTTATTTATTTTCTGTTGTTAAAACGTACAAAACACTGGTTCCAGACTATTGAAATACTTTGAAAAGTATTTTATTTTTGTAACAGAGGCTTGCAGTGTTGAACTGAGTCTAGTTAGAACTTTTGAGGTTATTTTCTGCTTGTGAGTAGATGAGTTTTGGTTTAAACAAGCATCAGCCACCAGAGGGCGCTGTTATCTCAGTTACAGAAACACCAGCTTCACGACCTTTACTGAATTTACCAGAGAAACATTTGAAGTGTCAGACAAATATAATTTAATCATACGAATAATCTCATTATTGCACAAATGGATATTTTATTTAATCAGAGCTATTTTTGCCCTTTTTCTGATCATTTTTCATCTCTGATCCTCAGTTCAGAATAAAATCTGGAACCTATCATTTAAATTGTTGCATATTATTTTCTGAGTTGCATTTATTACTGTTATCGTAACACCAGCGAAGTCCCACGTGCGATTTTATCAGCTGTAACTGAACATTTGTGTCCTGTTGATCTTCCTCCACTTTTCAGGCATATTCAACACATTTTTCGTTGTTTTGCTTATAATCCAAGAAGTTTTATTTTAATTTCGGCTAAAAGTGACAGATTAACAAGCTTTCAAATGCTGTTAGATCTTGAATAAAGCTAGCTCGTCTATTCTGTGATCCAGCTCAGCCTTGCAATCTTAAAGATGCTTTCATTACACGCTAAACTGTTGCATTCTTCTGCTTCATTCAGCTTTTATTTTGAAGGAGCTGAAGCTGAGATGGAACGGTTTATTCTAAGGATGGATTTGTCTGCAGGACTTGGCAGGTGGGTTGTTTTGACCGATTTTGGACTCGCTGCAGTTCCTTTAGATTTAGATCATCTCAGGGTGTTTTGTTCTAATGTTTCACGTGATAGATTGACTCTGTGGGGGTCAGCTTGCATGATTCAGCGACCTGCACCAAACAAGGAAAAAAAAAACTTTTTGAGGGATTTAACTAAGCCCAAATACTGGAGTCAGTCTAATGCATGTATTTCCATCCCTGCTCATTATTGCAATGAATGCAGCTCATGTCAAAATGCATGTAAATACCAGTTTTATTATTAAAAGTTTAAATAAAGTCTGCTTTGTTGACATCATGTGTTTATTTTCCTTCTCAGTGAGCATTCCAGCCTCCATCCACTTGGCATCCTCAGGGACATCCGGAGCTGCAGAGGGCAGCATATCTACCTGCAGCCCAGGAATGTACACAGACTTTAATTTGGAATCCAGCAGGAGGAATTCAGACTTTTGAAAAAAGGCTCTCTGTGTGTGGTGGATGAATATTTAGTGAAGTCATAAATAAAGATGAGGCACAGCTGGCTGGGATGGGTTGACATCTGGCAACAGAACAGAGAGGGTGTATGTGTGTGTGCAGGTCTTTCGATTAAGAAGCTTCTTTGTCCGTTCTCTAAATATTGATGTTTTTGTCAGAGAAGGAAGTAGCTCTAAGGAATGTGACAGGATGTCCCAATGCTGCACTCACCTGCCGCTGTAGAGGAGGACATTTTCACTCTGAAGAAACTCTCGGTGTTCCTGTGCTGAAAAACCAATAAACAGCTGTGAATATAGCTTTTTGACATACTGTTTTCCTGGTGGCTAGCATGAAGTCAGGAATAAATGTTGATGTTTATATAAAGGCCTCATGGAGTCATGACAAAGGCCAAAAATGTTTGTTTGTTTTTCATAGACTTTGCACAAAGACTGGTGCCTATCTCCAGTGGTCAACGGGCAACAGACACACACACAGGACAAACAATCATGCACACACACTCACACCTCGGGACAATTTAGACAGACCAATCAACCTAACAGTCATGTTTTTGGACTGTGGAAGGAAGCCGGAGTACCCGGAGAGAACCCACGCATGCACAGGGAGAACATGCAACCTCCATGCAGAAAGATCCCAGGCCGGAAGCGAACCCAGGACCTTCTTGCTGAAAGGCAACAGCTCATCCACTTTATCAAATGCAAAAATAGCTATAGGTCTGTCAATTTTCCAGCTATTAAAGCAGAAACTGTTGTGGCTGAGTGGCTCAACACGTACCAAACATGAGCTGATCGCACAAGATTTTTGTCAATAATCTGTTCATGAATTACTTCATGGATTTGAATGAAACTCTTAGAAAGATACCAACAAATGATTGCCTTTTGGAGTCAACACCATTTAAAATGGCAGGAACAGCTTAGATAGCACAAAAACATCTAGAACTCATTTCATTTAGAGATTTTGGGCTAAAAACGTGGCTGTACGAGTCACCCACAACGCACTAGAACTGTTTAGGATCGACATCAAAGAGCTATAACACTCATAAGTCGTCTTTGGCCTTTGATGGAACTCAGTCTAGATTTTATATTCTGCTGCACTGCTTTTCTTTCATTTAGCTTTATGTTCAGTAGATTTGAAAAGGAAGCAAGTTTTGCACACCGCTTCTCTTTTCGAACGTCAAATTCTGGATTTATACCCAAACAACCCCAAACTGGTCAAACCAGAGGTGAATAAAACATTGTTCCATTCTTTGTTCTGCTGTCTTTCAACCCTTATTTTCCGTTCGTTTTCCACACATTTAATTGCCGATGTTATCGTATAATAATGGTGCTTCCAAACTCCAAACTCCTGGTGAACCTCTATTTTTACACCGTTCTAAATCATTCACCATTCCTGCATGTTTCACATCACTGCATAAAAGGAAACACCTTTACATTTTTTGTGGTTTGAGGAAAGAACCTTTAAAAAAGTTCATTTTTCCACCTCTGTTCTTCTTTAGACCAAATTTATTTTAAGTTTCTTTTAGTAACGTGTAATTTTAGTTAAAACGGTGTCATGTCCCACTAGGAGTGATGGATTTGGATTCTTGAGTACTGATAATCCTGCAGACCTCGTTAAAGTCAGACAATAAATTATTCTTTTTTTCCAGCAGAGTAAAAGTAAAGAAAGCTTCCACAAAACTGCCAGTTAACTTTATGGTGCATCGTATGTTTACTACCTAAATACCATCCTGGTTTGTGCAACATCAAAACATCTTCTTCTTGTGCAGGAGGCTGTTTGCGCAACACAAACAGACGTCACTGTGTTCAGCCTCCCTCGCCGTTGGTAGGGATGAAGAATGATGGAGGACTGGGCGGGAGGTAATTCAGGGATGGATGTCCGTCTCCTAGGTGGCCATGTTGTTGAGCTGGAAGGATGTGGGCACTGGTGAGACCACCACACACACACACACACACACACACACACACACACACACACACACACACACACACACACACACACACACACAAATGCAGCGGTACAAGTAACAAGGTCATGCCTAACTGCAGTTCTTGTTATAATGATGTCGCGGTGAGATTTAACTTTATGGTGGACGACCGGATGAATTGGATCCTGGATCGAGACGGGGAGTCGACTCTGTGTTTGGGTAATGAAGTCAGGTCTTCATGGGACTGGAGGAATTTTCTGAACTGAGCTGTAAAAACATACCAGGACGTTATGCCCCAGCAGTCCTCTATGCAAACGGTATAATTTTATGTAGTAAATATAATAAATCCACATACCTCTCTACTTGTGGTCCGTCTACTCTCCTGGCAACAGGCACTCTAATTATTTGGTATTTTATTATTCAGGAAAAGAACTAAAGCAGTCAAATTTAGGAGCGTGAGCCTTTTATTTACTGCTCTCAGGGTGAGTTATTGCTGGTAATTTGCTGCCCTGACAAGCGTCTGACGTCAGAGGGCAGGCTAAGCGGACAATCCGAGAGGTGCAAAGAGACGCAGGTGGGACTCCTGAGGTCAAAGGTTAAGAGGGGAGGATGAGAAATGCGGTGGGCAAACACAGCTTGTTGTCACAAACCCAGACTGTATGAGGGGGAGAGGAGAGGATCCCTGTTTATTCACAGTACTGAGATATGTTCGTCATGCTTGCACACCAGTTAGATTGTCCTCATGTTTTACCTCTGATGTGTTGGTCTAGTTGTTGAAAATTGGGTTGTTTTGAATCAAAAGACGTTCAATTTAAAGCCCCCTTCTGCAACTTTTACACCTTAAATAATGTTTATTAGAAAAGTTTTGGCGGCATACAATCATTTGGTATGTATGGCGCGGTATGGGGGCCAAAATTAAGACTACTGCCCAGCAGCAGGAGGCTATATAAATTCTGAAGCAAACTACTGATCTGATTAATGATAAGCTGGTGCCGGTAACTGAGAGGCTGGCGCTGCTTACTGAGGAATAGCACCTTTACCAGCATTACTATTAGATACTCTAGGGACTAGCAGCCCTCGGCTGGTCATTGACTGGTTCACACACTTCAAATTCAATTCAAATTCAAAAATACTTTATTAATCCCAGAGGGAAATTGATTTCTTCCTCTGCTGTCTATTAGCATGGCTAGGCTAGTGTTAGCCTGGATGGGCTGGTGTTACCATTGGAGAGGCTAGCCATTAGCATGCCTAGGCTGGCCACTAGCCTACTTTCCTACCCCCTTGATGGACCATTAGCATGGATAGGCTGGCGTTAGCATCGGAGAGGCTAGCCATTAGCGTGTCTAGGCTGGCCACTAGCTGACTAGTGACTCTCTGAGACATGCTAATGGCTAGCCTCTCCGATGCTAATGCCAGCCTATCCATGCTTAAGGTCCGTCAAGGGGGTAGGAAATCCAGCTAATGGCATGCTTAGGCACGCTAATGGCTAGCCTCTCCGATGCTAACGCCAGCCTATCCATGCTAATGGTACGTCGAGGAGGTAGGAAATCCAGCTAGTGGCCAGCTTAGGCACACTAATGGCTAGCCTCTCCAATGCTAACACCAGCCCGTCCAGGCTAATGCTAGCCTATCCATGCTAATAGACAGCAGAGGGAGTGTGTGAACCAGTCAATGACCAGCCGAGGGCTGCTAGTCCCTAGCGTATCTAGTAATAACGCCAGTAAAGGTGCTATTCCTCAGTAAGCAGCATCAGCCTCTCAGTTACTGGCGTCAGCTTATCATTAATCAGATCAGTAGTTTGCTTCGGAATTTATATAGCCTCCTGCTGCTGGGCAGTAGTCTTAATTTTGGCCCCCATACCGCACCACAGTTATGTTCGTCCTCGGAGCTGCGATGGTGTATGGGGTCCCACTTCTGTTTGCTGCACTGTACAGTTTTTGACCCGCGTCCTACCGCCAGAAGTACTGACTGCGTTTTGCGTTGTGGCAATATCACGTAGACATGAACACGTAAATGCTGGGTGCTGGATAGCATAACAGCATCACCGCCATATTGGATGGGTCTCACTCTCCAAAGCAGTGACTGTACCATCCTGGTAGAGTGAGCAACTTGTGTCTGATTTTGTGAGAAAGCTTGATAAAATGTGCTTTTTAGTTGGGTCGCACCTTCCTTAGTAGAAAGGAATGCACTGGGGAAAATGGAGACCCATCTAAAATGACAGCCTTCCACTATGGGTGCACCAGTTCACGGGATGTCTATGTATATGTCTGTGGTAGACATGCAGTTTAGAGACTTGAGCAATGGCTGATCCACCAAAGAAAACTAGAAATCCCTCATCAGAGGAATCTAGGAAAAGAAAACGAGAACACTATAGAGCAAGAGCAAAGGCCAGAGTTAAAACTGGGCCGGCTTTTCCTCGCTGGAGAGCTCTTCTTGAAAGAACAACATATACTACGGACTCTGACCTAGCCATGCTGCTAATGGATAGGTAAGTAATAAGTTATTTCACCGAGGTTATTGTGTTTGGTTAGGGCATAAGTTGTTAAACAGTCCTGATCAAAGATTTTTCAATGCTGAAACGTTGCTTAATGTGTTTGTTTGGGCATGCGAATTGGAAAACTTTTCGTTAGCAAACATGCGTATGGAGAGAGATTTGATTTTACGCCAGTGACATTATGCAGGAAGCCTCGAAAGGGTGACAGAGAGCACATATCTGCAAAGTTCAGGAATTTGTCTTTAAGTGAGTAAGTTGATGAGGCAAGAGAGCAACTAAATTACTTTAAAAGGAATTATTTTTTGGTTGATAGTCAGGTGTTGAACACTCATTTAGTCAATACATTTACAATGGTCTCTAGTAGGCATGAAAGGCTCGTAAGTCATACTCGGGGGACAAAAAGCCCAGAAGCACCTGTATCTGCACGAAGGAGTCAGCAGGAGGAGAGAGTGGCAGAAAATGACAGGATTTTGTGTCTTATTTCCTGATATTTAGAAATCTCTCCTCACATGGGTTAATAGCAACATGACTACCACTGATTCTGTTTGCTCTGCAATGTTGATGTTTTATCTTTACAAATAACACAAGCCTGATGGAGTTCTGCTGTGTGGTGTAGTTGCTAATGCTAACAGTTAGCTTCTACTAGTAGAGGCGTTCTCTGATTTTTCCTGTATGCTAAACCAGAAGAAGAAGAAGAAATTATAATTTCTATGGCACCTCTCAAGATAAAAATCACGAGGCGCTTCACAAAAACAAAACATGTAAAAATATAAAAAATAATTTAGAAAATGGCTAAAAAAATATTTATAATGAGCAAAAAATAGACAATTGTGATTAAAAAAATGTTAAGAAAGAGAGAGTGAATAGGAAAGAGGGAACCAACAATAGCCTTCCCCGTTGTGAGTCAAGATGGGTGAGTCCATTAAGTGACAATGTGACGTAGAGTTTCACCGTCTATTTTCTATCAGAAGCTAATGCAGGAGATGGGTGTAGGAGACTGTTTCATGTTCAGCTGCATGAAAACCAATTGTAATCAGAAATAATCATAAAAAAAAAGGTTTTTCAGTGTTCCAAACCTTTGATAGTCAAGTTTAATTTAGATGAGAAGAGGATGCTTAACAACTTATACTAAAAAAAATCATGTTCAACTTTAATATGACAATACAGTATTAAACATACACATTTCTTTTCCTATTTCTAGAAATCAAAACTCAGACAAGTGATAAAATTGATCATTTAAAGCTTTTACGTATTAAAAGCGATTATGAGAAAAACAATCACAAAATGTTATGATAAAGTCATTTGTCATGGATTTGTAAGTAACCACTTTAGCAGAGCTCTGTTACTTTTTTTATCATATTTACTCAGTTTAGGTTCAGCTACAAAAATCTGTCACTCCATCTATAATGTCTGGTGCGGATGGGTTGAATGTGACAAAAGTTTCAGAGAAGTGAGAAAAATGTATGTTATGTAAACACCAGATTCTTTCAGACCTGCACCTGATGATGTTGGCGATCCCTCTGGATCAAATTTTCAGAAGGAAATCCAAAAGGAATAAATATAATTTTCAAAATATGATGACAGGTGGTCAAATGTTATTTAATGTATCATTTCATTAATCATTGACTGCAGCTTTATTTCATTTTAAACATCATCCAGATTCAACCAAAGGCCAAACTGGATCCAGCCGGCTGAGCTAAATCCATCCCCTCACTTTTCTGTTCGGACCGGTTCACTCAGACCCTCTGAGGCACCGATCTGTCGCCACATTAAAACATTTTCTTTTTAGATCTCACGAAAATTTGCCTTCGGATTTAATTTATCTCAGGATTATTTGCCAAGAGCACATACTCTCCCTTCATTTATCACTGCCCACTATACACACACACATACACACACACACACACACACACACACATAACTTGCAGCCGCTGGTGCAGCCACAGTCCTCTACTGTTAGTCTGATGCGCAGCTCCATCGGAGTCATTTCGATGTTCTGAATATCACAGAAGTGCATCTCTTTTGGTGCAGATGCCATCAGATGTTGTTGTCTAAATTTAAAATCGGCAAATGCTTGAAGTGACTGACTTCATGAGGCGTTGTGTGTTTTTCTAACACTTAAAATTGGTTTTGTTACTCAAGTGTAATGCACCAAAAGGGTCAATTTTCACCTACAAATTGACCAACATAATAACCTTTCATCTACAGAAATAAATCCACTTTTTACTTGGCCTCCAAATCCAGAAGGTTCTGCTCAGTGCTTGTTTACTTACAAGAAGACGAAACACCCAGACAAACATTCTCACCCAAGATCCTGCACTCTCAGCGTGAAAGCTAGACTGCTGATTCCTCTAAATCTACTTGAAGCTCCTACATGACTTTACAACTTATAAGCTTAAATAATCATATGTGAGGAATGAACAAGATGTTTAAATCATCAATGAATTTAAATTTACACACACAGGCTGATAGAACGAAATAAAATGCATCTTTTTATTACTTCATGTGATATTCAAAATAAAGTTAAAGGGGCATTATGGAAGTGTGACAGCCAAAACATGTATAGAAATAATAAATGTCTTCTTCATACATTCTCCTGCAATGCCATGGTCCTGTAGAATGAGCCCTGGCATTTTTACTGTGATTGCCTGTTTTTCTGTAAAATCACAGAAAAAGAGAGATGCTCGGGTCAAGCAGGCTGCTTCATGCGCGTTCACGCTCAGGCATCGCCCGTAGCATTTGCTATCCGTAGCTTTAGCAGCAGAGAGAGAGGCAGTGCCACTTTGTCGCTGTTCCTAATGCCTAGTGACAAAGCTAGCTACATTTCTGAGGACCCTTAGCTACTTTCTGTAGAACTTTCTTCTAGATATTTCCTGCAAATTAGCAACAAAATAGCCATTTTCGCTCTGAACCGTTCTTTGGTTTGACGTTGTTTCAGCTGTCATCAAGGATATAAACGTTACAGATACTGTGAATGTTTCTAGAGTGCAGCTCACCTTGTAAGATGTCTGACTCTCATGCAGAAGACCTGGGTTTGATTCTGGATGTGAACATAGTTAATTTAGAGTTTCTTTTTTACATTAATGATATTTTTTTTTACAGTAAGATGCCCAAATTTTTATTTGAGACTCGTCGAACGGCATTGAATTCACAGATAAAAAAAAGATGTGGGTTCAACTTTCATTTTGGAACAAATTTTCAAGCAAGGGAAGGGAATGATCTGAGCGTGCAGGAGGACTGACCCATCATAAACCTTTGTCGGCTGTGCCGAAGAGAAAGGTACAGAACCAAATTATTTAATTAATTAGTGTGTGTTCTCTCTCTCTCACACACACACACACACACACACACACACACACACACACACACACACACACACACACACACACACACACGGGGCTGTCTCAGCTGTTATTTTCGTTAAGGAGTGTGCAGGTATAGCATGCGCGCCTTGTGCACGAGCCTACTATTGAAGCTGCCGTTACGCTTTTGGCCTGAGGGGGCAATCGCGAGCATAAAAATTCAAAAGTCCGTAAAGTCCCTTTAAGTGAAATGACCACGGATTGAGTCCCTTTTATTCGTACGCCAGCAACAACTGCAAAATCTTCTAAAAATGAATCCCCTGATTGAAAGTTGTGGTTACTTCTTGTGATGTATACCAATTTGGCTACAAGTCACTGTCAGTGTCTAATCTAAACCATGTAAGTCTTCACTCATCAGCGGTTATTC